TATGACTGTTTATTACTAAGAAAAGAACTGAGAAATTTAGGCAAAAAAGTTTCACGATATCCTAACAACATTGAATTGCGGCATGCTTTTTCAAATGCTAGGAAAAAATTACAACAAACTGAGAAAACATCTTAAATCGAAGTATTACAATAAAATTGCTGAAGAAATAAATTCAATAACACCAAACAAAACTCGAAATTTTTTAAATAAAATCAAAGAAAATAAAGTTAAAATGACAGCAGCAGAATCCACTAACACTTCAGATTTTATTGATCACTATAAAGGCCTGCTCAATAAAGCATATTCACCTGAAGAAAATGAAAGGTACAAATTTGAGAATTTTAAGCTAAAACCCCGTCCATTAGATTATGAGTTCACCCAAGATGAAGTTTAAAAAAGTATACTGAAATTAAAAAAAATGGTAAAAGTCCAGGTCCAGACCTGATTTTGAATGAATTTATAAAAGCAGGTAGTGGTGTACTTCTGCCTGTTCTCACAAAATTGTTCAATATTATACTTAAAAATGAGGTTATGCCCAAGGAATGGAACCTTTCACTTATTACATCACTTTCAAAAATGGTGATCCAAACAATACAAGCAATTACAGAGAGTCTTAGTGTTACAAGTTGTCTAGGGAAACTCTCTACTTGAACTTTACAACAACGCTTAAATTACTATCTTGAATCTAATAATCTTTTCAGTCAATATCAGTCGGGTTTTAGAAAAAAAAACCCATAGAACTACGGACAATATCTTTGTTTTAAGAACACTTATTAGCAAATATACATTTAAAAAGAAAAAAAAAATATTTATCTGCTTTGTAGCCTTTTCCAAAGCCTTCGACACTGTTTGGAGATCTGCACTTTTATACAAAAATTAATAAAAAAAAGGCATTGGTGGCATTTTTTTGAAACTTTTATACTATATGTATACAAATACTTATTACTCCTGTAAAAAGGACAATCAAATGAGTGAAGAATTTTTCGCAAATAGAGGAGTGAAACAAGGTGACAACTTGAGTCCAACACTTTTCAATATTTTTATTGACGATTTTGTAAAATATTTCAATAATACAGCCACAGATCCAGCTTATTTAGATTCATCACCTATTAACCACATGTTTTTTGCTGATGATCTTATTCCTGTATCGGAGACACCTATTGGTTTACAGAAATGTATAGATATTTTAAGTAAATATTGTCATGAATGGAAATTATGTGTGAACATGGAACATGGGAAAAACAAATGGTATGATTTTTTTCTCGAAGTACGAATAATGAAAATGAGTATGGTTTTTACTACAATCATAGCCCTATAGAAATAACAAATCAGTATAAATATTTGGGACTTGTATTTAAATCTGATGGAAAAATGAAATTCTCAGCAGAACAGCTGTCAGAAAGAACTAGAAAGGCCTATTATGCTATAAAAACTAATTTTCCAGCTAATATAAATTTTTCTGTTGAGACAATAATAAAACTTTATAGATCTATGATTACTCCAATCTTAACTATGGTTCTGAAATTTGGATTGCAGACTACACATGTGATTTATTATCCTCAGATCATTTCCCATTTGAAAAAATACAACTCCAGATATTTAAAGACATTCTGGGTGTTCATAGAAAACCATCTAATATTGCTGTTCTATACGAGTTGGGACAATTCCCACTATTTTATTCATGTTATAAAAATATGTTTAAGTCTTATTCAAGATTGAAAAATTTGGAGTCAGAGAATGAGCATCATGACCAATTAGTGGTGTCTGCATTTAAGGAAGATAAAACATTGGGGTCTAGAATATCTTGGCAAAGAAAACTTTTTACTCTACAACAGAAATTGTCTTTATCCTCATTGGACATATCACATAAAATTTTAAGACATAAATTAGAGGAGCACTATAGGAACAAAATCTGTGAACAGTTAAAGAAATTTCTAAATCAGATTCTGGAAAATTAACTTTCAACAGAAATATAATAAATTTAAATGGATATAAATTACAGAACTACCTACAATTACCATTTAAGAAATCTGAAAGAACAATCCTAACAAAACTAAGAATTAGTGCTCATATACTGCATATTGAAATGGGGAGATACTCAAGGCCACCTATTCCTAGAGAAAAACGTGTATGTCATGCTTGAAACTTTTTTATTGAAAATGAAAAACATTTTATACTTTATTGTCCTAGTTATGATCAGTATAGATAACAATATTGTGATATATTTAATTCTCAATGTTACATGAAGGAAAACCCTATTATTGACATTATCAACCCTCCAAGTATTAATATTGCTAGAAGAGTATGTAACTTTCTGAAAAAGTGCTTTGATATTAGTAAAGAAAAAACTTCAACATAACTGATATGCTTACTGGAATAATTTTTTATTGATTTTATGTAAGTTATTGTTTGTTGTATTCATGACTATATGCCAATGTTTGATGGTGTTGTCAATAAATAAATTGAATATTATATCATATATTCCTGAAAAAAATCAATGGACTATGTAATCTTACAGGTGTATAATGATTTTTTTTAAGTTTCATTTTTTTTAACACAGTTTACAGTTAAGGTATAACCAGTTGGAATTTCGACGTTTTGTTTTGTTTTATTTGTCACATGAACGTCCATTCTCCCGTAAAATCGCTTTTGTAAATATGTGCTTTACTGATAAATAAACATGTTTTATATTGTAGTAGCCATGTCTGGCTAACCGTAACGATATACATGTACCTAAATTATTAGATTGTCAAGTTGTTACAACCAACGATAAAACATTGCAATACAAGGAGAAAATGAAACTATTTACTATAATAATATTATATTATTAGTAAATTAGGTGTCTTTATTTTTTTAAAGGTTACTTAAAATGATTAATTAGATAAATAATTTACGTTATTGGGTAAACACTCCAGTGCTTTAAGGTGGCAATTTTTCGTATCTAGCTTATTTGTACATGCGATGGTGGTACAATAAGTCATAATTTAACATAGATGCATGAGTTATCGCATTCAGTTATTGTTTTAAATACATGACAAAATGCTGTATGATTTGACAATTTTGTAATATCTTTTATCAAAATGTTGACATGTCTGATAACCGTTTTTGTCCCACTTTTACAAAAGGATAAAAACGACATTGTCGACAAATTGTTGATTTATGCAATCTTTTAAGGCAAGGTGCTGGTAAATGTAAATTTAGACTATACATATATGCACTGCATGCAGGTCTTTGTAGCATAACAGTTCATTGATAAACCAAAATATTAGTATTTCTTGTAAAAAAAAATATAACATTTTGATATATATATATACTCAAATATTAATTTTCCTCAACAACTCTTTATCAGCACGGAGGCAGCACAAAAGTATAGATATATAAAAAGGAAATCATAGAATTGCAAGGAATAGTTATAGCAAAGCATGAATTTTAAAAAAAAATCCTGCTGTATTTTATACTCGTGATACTCAGAATGTACATTCTAATATTTTACCTGTCTGTTATCTCTTCTTTTTATTCACTTTTGACTTTTACTTAACTATAATGAGCTAATTTCAACAAAATTTGGCATAAAGCATCCCCAGGAACAAGGGAATAAAGTTTGTTCTACTGAAGAACCATGCTCCTGCCAAGTAGAGATAATCTAGTAAAGGCAATTGTAGGGCCAAGTCATTTAAAAAAATCTTCTTCCCAATTTAAGAAGCAACGGACCATTTTAAAATTTTTTTGAAGAACAGTAAGTCCATGATTAGTCAAGCCTAAGGTAGCAGGCCCATGCCAAGGGTTATAAAAAGGTGGGGGGAGATTCCCCCCCCCCCCCCAAGAAAATCTGACCGAAAAAAAAAATCAATAAAGTAAAATAAAATGAAATAGAATAAATTAAAAAAAAAAGTAAAAAGTAAAATAATAATAATAATAACCTCGTCAAAATCGAAAAACCTATTTCCTGGCGAGGGGGGGGGGTCTCTTACTTCATGGTACTTTTTTTCAAATCCTGGAATTTGCCATTAATTGCTCGACCTTACAGCAACAAAAGGTGCGGGGGGTTTAAATGAAAATTTACTATGACAAAATATTATTCTCAAAAAACAAGTGGGGGAGGGGCGGGCCATGACCCCCCCCCCCCCACCCCCACCCCGGAGTTCTACAGGCTGAATAGTGCAGATTCAAGTTTGCAAATTATATTCATATTAATAAGTATTGAAGCATTCCCTCGTTGAGTAGATTCAAGTTTTGTTAAAACATAATCCCAGGGGCCGGTTAGAATAGGGCCACAGTATATGGGTTCAAAATTTTTTTTTATAGGAACAAAGAGGAAAAAACTATTCCAAAAACTTTTTCTGAAAACAGAGGGCCTAAATGACTCAGGTGAGCGTTGTGGTCCATGGGTCTTTTACATCCAGGAACTGATATTTTGACTTGAAATTGAAGAGAGAGAGAGAGAGAGAGAGAGAGAGAGAGAGTTAAAATCCAAATTAATTACTAAATACTTCTAAAGAATTTTTTTTCCATTTATTTTGATTTATTTGATAAAATATGTTCAAAACAAATTAAAACAGTATATACATGTACCAAGAATACAACTTTTGGTTTGTAAAAAATAAATAAATGTCCATAATTAAATGATCTTAATTATATTAACACATTACAAATCAGTTAAATTGTTGATTAAAGATGACTGTCCCCCTTGTCTTTTCCCTGTATTTCAGATTAAAATATGTAATCTCTCTACGTAAATTATTTGTTTTTTTCCTTATATATTTTTGGGTCGAGGCTATCTGGTCCTGTGTCATACTCCGCTCTCCCCTCAGCCTAGAAATCCTTGATCCGCCCATGCAGGTATCAATGCTAGATCTAATTTGTTATGCACAGTGTCGCAATGAAATGCATTAACAACATGAATAAAATACTTTATAAATGTCAATTAGCTTTGAACTCCACCTTTCCGTTACATTTGCTAATGATCTTGATTTCAGGTGAACTATAAGTATCAGTCACATGGTGTTACCACAGGGTTTGAGTGGTGTGCAAATGTCCACAACGACTGCTGCAGCGCACTAGAAATGACGGAGTAAGTATTTTATATTTGCTGGCTAAAAATAGGAATAATCGATAACATAACTTTTCTTTGTTGTTAACCTTGCGATATCATTTTGTAGATCACAAGAGTTAGTTATCCTGATCCAAAACAAATAATGATAAAGAATGTCAGTATTTATTGTGTAAATTATGGTGTGTACATATATTTTGATGCCTCCATTTTCCAAATGGTACATAAAAAGGATCTCTTTGTACACCTCCGTTTAAGCAGACGATCATTTAACTTACTAAACGCCATGAAAATGCATATGGCCATACAGTTGGCAGAAATGTGGAATATTTCTGTTTGATATTTATTGCAGTGACAAGTTCTTATTTTCATCCTGTTTGCTTTAAAATGTGATCTCAAAATTGTATAAGCTTAACACTTGATAGACCAAGGTCGAGGTCATAAAAGCATCAAATGAAAGCTAGTAAAATACAGTGTGCCATCTTCTTAAACATTCAGCCATGTCATGGACTAGCATATGTACTAATTAATGAGACATTTAAAAAAAAAATCAATATCCATTGCTCATAAAAATATGAATTAAAGAATTAAGTTTTTCCCGAGAGATCAGATTAACACTACAAGTCACACTACAAGACGATTAGAAGCTATGGCGGCGGGTTGTTGAGAAAAACATAATTGGGATTATAGTCTAAGCATTGAAATTTTCGTTTTCTTACTGTAAATGCCTTTTAATGCTACAAAATGTTGCATAAAATATTAAATATTATTCATTGGCAAATTGCACAAGAGTGTATTTATCTACATTTTGAACTTGCAATAACTAATGTTAATAATATATCCTTTTTCAATGTGGAGTACAAAGACTGTTCATTTACATAAAAGACACTTCAAATGACTAATTGTCACGACAAACAACATTTTGTCAACTCATGTGCAGAAAAAAAGTACATCATATCAACAATTGAATACATGTAGATGTAATTTGACTATGTAATACATTTTCAAATATCATATCATTTTGTTTGACATATACTGGCAAAGTATAATTTGGAGACAAATAAAAATATAATTATAATCAATAATGTATATTACTAGTAATAACGATTAATTGTTACTGTCTATATGGCTTTCGATTTTGCAAAATGTCTGAAAACTACTAGTTTGCCGAAATAACAGTCAACTATGTCACAGTAATCACTTCGATACTCTCTACAACGTATGTATGTACAATTAAGAGAATAATCATTGTCATTGATAAATATATATAATGCATTTTTAAAAATACATCATTACAACTTTAATTTATTAAAAAAAAAAAAAAATCATCATACTATTCGGATGTTGTAAGGTGCCGATACACGCCAGTGAAAGCAGTCTTTTAAAGATGAAAGTTTGGTATAATTTTTTTTCAAATACGATATGTATACACGACTGTTTCAGAAAGTATAGTAAATACATGTACATTGTGTACACCCTAACGTACTGTATTCTATTTAATATTTATGCTGTAAACTTTTGTATGATTATAATGAAAAATTGTACATGTAAATGTGTATTTAACATTTTTACAATTTCAGAATCCAAGATAAAGAAGACGGTAGTCTCGAGAAAAATACGACGATACAGTGCCTTGATGACTTGACAGAACACATGACTTTAATACGTCATCCTAAAACACAAGGGACTTTAGACGATGTTACTGAAAAAAAATATGATGACAACAAGTGTGGAAATATAGAAAACTGCACGTGCACACGAGCTAACTCGTTAAACTACTTATTAGTTTTGTTTCCAATAATTGGTGTTTTACGTCGCTATAATGTCAAGGAGTATCTGCTCAAAGATGTCGTAAGTGGGTTATCTAACGCTTGCCTTCACTTCCCCCAAGGAATGGCGTTTGGAATACTTTCCTCCCTTGCGCCAAAGTATGGACTTTACACTTCATTCTACCCTGTTGTTTTGTATGTGATTTTTGGAACCTGTCCATCCGTATCATTTGGAACAAACGCTGTGATAGCCTTATTCACGGCAAATCTTGTACAGAGTCATGTGACGTTACCTCCTTGGAGTGGGGGCAGCACCAATAATTCTAACAATAGCACCGAGTCTGGGCGAATAAATGACGAGGAATTCCTGGAAGCCAAAGCGGCTGTCGCAGCAGGTTCTTCTTTTATAGTGGGGGTCCTGCTTCTGGCATGGGGATTGTTAAGGTTTGGTTTTATAGCATCATATATGTCAACCCCGTTTATAGGATCATTCACGACCACTGCCACCATCCATATTATCACAAGCCAAATTCCGAAGAGCATTGGAGTTCGGATACCATCGGTCTCTGGCCCTGGAAAACTAGTAAAAGTGTTCATCGAAATCTTCAAAAATATAACTACCGCAAATGTAGGTTCCATTATCACATCAATTATTTGTATCATTACTCTAGTTTTCTTCAAAGACTTTATAAATGAGAAGTTTAAATCAAAATTATACATGCCGATTCCAATAGATCTTATACTAGTAATTTGTGGAACTATTGTATCGTACTTTGGGAACCTAAAATCTAAGTTCAGCATACCAGTTGTAGGCGAAATTTCTTTAGGAATCCCTCCTCCTACTCTTCCCGATATAAGAACAGGAATTATAGGAGATTCTGTCGTGGTTGCTATCATAGTGTTCGTTTTGACCATCTCCATGGCCAAAGTCTGCGATACGAAGAATACCATCAATGCCGACCAGGAACTGGTAGCATACGGGATGTCCAACTTTGGTGGTTCGTTTTTCCGGTGCTTTCCTTCCTGTGTAGCACCACCTCGTACAATTTTATTAAACACGATGGGGGCCAAAACCACACTTAATGGCTTATTCTCGGCCCTTGTTATTTTGCTTATTTTATTGTTTCTAGGAGAGTACTTTCAATACCTACCAATACCCGTTTTGTCTATTATGGTCATCATGGCAGTTAAGAATCTTCTTCTTCAATTTCGCCAATTACCACGGTTATGGAAGATAAACAAATATGATTTTACTGTTTGGGTAGCTACGGTTATAAGTGGAGTGTTCATTGATTTCCCTTACGCTTTGTACTGTGGGATTGGACTTAGCATTTTTCTTGTCGTTTTTCAAAGTCAGAAAGGAAAAGTGGGTTTGTTTGGGAAACTGGCGAACGAAGAATTATATGTTGAAGAGTCAAAAAACACAGTTCTTCCGTCAAATGTGAAGATATTTAAAATGGAATCGTCTCTTTTCTTTGCAACAGCAGAGTCTTTTCGTGAAAATTTATACAAACTGGCAGGGGATCCAAGAACAGTGAAGAAAGACTCGGAAGAGGTGTCTATCTCAGTTGACGAAAGACCTTCCAGGGACAGCAAAGTAAACGAAACAGCTTCCAGTGACACCCTGGAATACAAACCATGTAAAGGCGACAATAATACAGAAACGAAATATGTTATCATTGACTGCTCGTCGTTCAATTATGTAGACAGTAATGGGGTCTCCATCATGTCGCTGGTTGTCATGGAATACCGGGCAGTTGGGATCAAGGTACTATTGGTCAGATGTACTACAAGCTTTCTTGGAGTGATGATGAGATCAGAGTTGATGAAAACGGTTGGAGAAGAAAACGTTTTTCCGGATATCGTGGACGCTATAAATCTTGCTGTATCAGATGAATGATTTTGTATTGTTTTTCATTATTGACATCATAATATGAAGATAAAAAGAAAGACCTTCCAGAAACAGCAAGGTAAACGAAACACCTTCCAATGACACCATGGAAGACAAACCATGTAGAGTTGTACGACCTCTATTTTCTGTTAATTCGTTCAAGCTTCATGATAAATATGGGCTCTTTGAAATTGAGTCTGAAAAGAAGATGGAATAACAATACAAAATTTAATATCAAAGCAAAATGAAGCTACATGTACCTTCCAAAGTGCTATTCACGACGATTATTGCATTTTGTGTTACCTGTATTACATTTTATGTGGAGATCAACACAAAATATATTATTATAGCTCATTATAATTATTCTACACAATGTGTTATCTAGTTGGTTCTGGACAGTCATGTGACAGGGCCATAAAACGTCGTATTTCCCTGTCGTTATCATGTTTTTCATCATATTCAACCTCTTCGGAGACCTTGGGCATTTTCCCGCAATACTTATCGTTCGTTAAGCGAAAAATTCTGAAAGCAGCACTAGCAAGCGTCACAAAATTTACAAAAAGTACAATAGTAGAAAGGTTTCATCTACCAAATAGTGACGAAATTAGCGATCTTCTTTCCAATAAGAAAGATGGTGTTGCAGTTCTTTTGTTATTTTCCCTAAAGCTGTGGCAGTTTAAAAGAAAAATTTTAAGTAACAGAAAACGGTCTTAATTTTTTTTCAGATACAACAGTATATACAGCACAATGTAGAACAATATTTGCAAAATGCATATCGACAACCAATTTGCCATTAAAAGAAGTGTAAATTAGTCACATAGCAAAATAAATCAAGTTTTCTGTTTTTCACATAGGGAATCCCCATTGTTCTGAAAAATTGCCTCCTTGAAACAGAATGAATTTGATATGCGCATAAAGAGACAGGAGTTTTCTTCAAAACTACCATTTCCGATTTTTGTTTCAAAGAGGCATATTTTTGAAAATCACAAAAATCGAAGAAAAATTATTATCCACCCGAAATGCAAAGTGTGTACATAAAATAGCACACGATATTTCAGTGTCGAAGCTGGTCTAGTGGTAAAGCGTGTGAACTCTATGCGAAGATTCTTTTTTTTTAACCTGAGAATGGATTCGAATCCTGGAATGGCTGGTATATACATTTTTTTTCTTATATAATGGAAGTACAATGTAACAGCTCTCTTGAGAGTGAAAGAGAGAGGGAGAGAATGTCAGAAAGTTGATGGGTAATATTTTAAATGCATGCAGAATTAAATTGTTTTCTTTGATATTGTGATCTAAAACTAATAATAACTTTAATGTTATTAGTTAGTGGCAATGTCTTAAAAAATAAAGTACTATCATTTAAAATAATTTAATTAATTCATATTCATTTCGTTTCATTATTGTTCTGTTAATTAGTGGCCCAGATTTGACTTGAAACTACTAAACTGAAATGATTCAATGGAATTTCTTGGATATTGCATCAATAGCGTAATTATTGGACACATTTGTACATGTATATATTGAAAAATATTAACGCACGCTTTTCACAGTACATCTTTCAAAATGATGTGCGAGTCTATTTAGGAAAAGCTATGCATGATATCAACATAAAATGTGAAATGTTTCGTTATAACAAGCTGGACATACCCGCTGTATAAATAAAGCCATCTACGTAGCATTATCTATATTTAGAGATTTATAACTCTTCATGCGTCGTGAGTATTTAAACAGTTAAATGTCCTCCTCGATTTAGGGAATAATCACGAGTTTCTGCAACACCCTCTTTTGAATTTAAAAAATCAAAGAAATCGAAGACAGTTGTCAGTGTAGTGTCGAAATGGACTTCTGGTAAAGGCTTGGCTTGCTTCAGTATGATAAACAATTTATTGCATGAATGTTCGGGAAATATGAAGATTTACTCAGCCAAGAAAAATCATATTCCCCTCGAGCAAAACCCTCGAGGAATTTTTTTTATGAATAAATCTTCATATTTTCCCGACGATCATGCATTAAATGTATAATGCCCCATTTTGTGGTCAATCTTTTATATCCCAACAATAATTTTCAATTATTTCCATGCAGAAATAAAGAACCATTATTTCTTTATGTGTCATTACATGCTGCGTTGAGTTCAACACAAGAATGTTTGAAGCCAAAATGCATTGATAAAGTTGGGCCAGGGCTTTGCTTTCTAAATGAACAGTTCATTAGATATAGATTATCTGGATATATATGGATTGCTGGAGTCAGTCACCAAGCCTTGATTGTCTTGAAATGATAAAAAGAAGACGGTTTCTAAGAAATATTCAAGTACAGGAAATACATTTACATGTACATGTATTTACGAAATTCTTAAAGGTTTTCAAAGAAGTGGAACGCAAGAAAAAAAAGAAAACTAGATGTTGTTCATAAGACATTAATACCCGCACGTAAGTGTTTGTTACTAAATGCAGGTTTTTGTAGACTCCCATTTGACCATATTGCTCATATACAGCTAGGGCACCCCAATCATCTTGCAAACGATGTGATGGCAACTGCATTGAAATAAAAGATACCACAGAGTCTGACACATCTTTTTCATATTTAGATATTTTACTAGAAAAAAGACGTTAATGGTAACCTAACAACAAAGCTTTATGATAAACGTGATGACTTCAACTTTTCAATTGTCAACTTCCCTTACTTATGTAGCAGTATACCCTTATCACCTGCATATGGGGTTTATGTCTCTCAGTTGATTCGATACGCAAGAACATGCTCTACGTATGAACAATTTCTAAAACGAGACAAGCTATTGACAAAGAAGTTGATGAAACAAGGATATCAACAGTCTTGTTTGAAGTCATCATTTTGCAAGTTTTATGGTACAGTACATACAATGAACTTGTCAGAACATACAACCTATCATTAAGTCAAATGCTGACTGACGTTTTTCAAACTTATTGTTAGGCCATTATTTATACACTGAAATGTCTACGGATTTTTCGGGTTTTTTTTCCGATCATGACAAGGAGCACACGGTGGGTGTGACCGGTCGGCAGAAGATGCTCACTCCTCCATGGCACCTGATCCCACCTCTAAATGTTGAGGTCCGTGTTTGCTCTGCTCCAGATTTGTATCGTTTCATTGGACTTTCGAGATTGAATATTGTTCGTTATCTTCATATTTCACTGACACAAACTGCTTGCTGATGATATGAAGATATTTAACTAGGTGGGTAGTTGGATGCATAATTTGATGAACACTTAATGTTCCCTCCCTTTTTACATGTACATGTGTATATTGTAGTTGTTGTTTATTATTCAGGAGGAAAAGAAAATTTTTGCGGAGTTTAAATTCTTAAACCACACGAAATGGAGTAAATTGCACACACACACTCTCACACACACAATTTAAAACAGCAAGGCCACACGTAAACAGTCTAAATAATCATATAAACGCATTCTATCTACTTTAGATTGGGGATGGGGGGGGGGGTGGTGGTGTAAATAATGGTTGACGTTTTACAGCACTTTGCTTTAACATGCATGCATGTAGTAATGAGCTAAGATTTGGGAAATCGGTCAAAGTTTATTTTCTTATCTGTTCATTTCGTGGTTTTTGTTTATGTTTTTTTTAATATACAATTAAAATTGTTTTTTACATTGAGGAAGAAATACTGACAGTACAAGTTTGACATTCTTAGGTCAGTGTGTAAAAAAACAAACTACTTATATATATTATAACATAAGTGGAAGAGAGAAGTGGCTCTGACACCGTTTTGCACAATTTTAAAAAGAGCTGTAATGACTTGCACCACAGGACATTCTCTAACATATACAGTCTTTTGAAGTTTGTCATAAGAACAGAGTTCCACTTCACTTCGCCCGTTATGCAAATTATCCCACGTTTCCAACTATCGTTGATGCCCTGGCATATCAAATAATCAGTGATTCCTTAAACAAGCCAAATATATAAGCATTAAAGCCTCATCCTGGGGCGTGACCACTAAACCCAAAGGGCATGAATAGAAAATTTTTAATAGTGGGCTAACTGTTAAATATCATAATAATGCAAACCGCTTGCCTACCAGATGTGGTCGCCCGCGTGGCGCAGTGGTTAGAGCGTTTGCTCTAGAGTCGCTGTGTAAGGAGTTGATTGGGCTCGAATCCACTGCGGGACGTGGAGAACGGTCCTTCGGATGAGACCGTATAAACCGAGGTCCCGTGTCGCAATGGGTGCTGGCACGAAAAAGATCTGACTGCTCAATGGCCCTAAGTGCTGAGTATAAGTCAAAAAATTTGCAGCTCTCCACCAACAAGTGGTGGCGTCTCCATAAGAGTGAAAAATTCTCGAGAGGGACGTTAAACAAGAAACAAACAAACCAATTATGCATTAGTAAAGAAGAATGTTTTCAAATGTTTTAAAAAATTAAATATATGACCAACTTAGCTCAAGTATTTCACAGCGGGACAACTCAAAACATTATTGTCGTCCATACATCATATTTTGCCAGCTAATTGTGAGAACGAAGGAGAAAACTTCGCAAAGGTATAATACATTTTCAGTATATGACCAATTTAGAAGGACTCTGGGTCTGAACCATGCACCAGAAGACATAAATTCTAATATTTCACTAGAAGGATGATATTACATGTATTGACATGCAAACAGTTTGTCTAGAGAGTAGAAGAAATTAAGAAAGGTTTTGTGCATTTTCTATACACGTGACCAACTAAACCCTCCCTGGAATCAGAATCCTAGACCCCACGAATTTCAGATACAGGGTAACTGCTCATATTAATCACACAAACGGTTTGCCTGCTAGAGGTCCAGGGTTCACGAAAGATTTTTAAAGATTATACATCAATAAATTTTAGATTATTACTCAGGGCAGGGAAAGGATAATAAAATTCACTATTTTTCCCACTTTATCCATAGATATTGTACTACAGTGGGTATCTACCAAATTACTGTTGATGTCCATCCCTTTCGGATGTTCACTACTGCACAAACGTGGTACGTCATACTATGGACAAAGACGGAGGGAAAGGGATCACAATACTAAAACTACTTAGTGTGATCCAAATATCACGTTATCAAATTTCATTATAGAGCAAACTGAACAATGTAAACAGGAAGAATTCAAGGAAAAAAAATGATTTAATCTATAATGTACTATTTTTTTTACGTAATTACTAACCGAAACTACCTGTAGTTATTTACTAAGCTCTGTTTATATTAAAATATATGGATTTGATCAAACTCGGTCAAACTTTCAAACTTCACTTCCATCAAAATTAAGTATTATACATGTAATTCAGTTCTATTTAAAGAGGATCCTAGTGATGAGGAAACTGGTTTTCTCTTTGTTTGTGGTTTACGCTTCGATAATTAGTGGACTATTCTACGCTCTCTTTACCGATTATTGGATAGATGAAACAGGCTACAACTTTGGAGTCTTCAAGTATTGTGCCAACAATGTCACAGAATGTCAAAGTGTTACAAATGAGCTACACACTGGACAAGGTAGATATGTGAAATTTATGTGCATTATAAAGATATGTATTAAATGTGGCTTTTAAATTATCCATGTTTTGCGTTACCAGACGTCCTCTGTATATTTCTACATGTAACATACATGTATCAATCTTACAGCGATTTAATTAAGTAAATCAAATCAAATAATGAGATTCATGTGATTTATTTGCATCCACTCGTTTCTTCAAATGAATAAAATATTCTTGAAAACGTTTCAGATTACCAGACCTACTAATTCCTTTAGAGCCAGAGTGAGATTGATTGCTCTTTTCTATGAATATAAGCATGCAATATACTGATTAAACAAGTGTGTGTGTATTTTTTAAAATGTTTTATTTGATTAAAATTGTAACCAGTCTTGGCCAAGTACATATACTCGTTTTTCATTTCGGGGACAAAATTTGTCTGAAACACCCAACGCAAAAGGAAATAATTTTGTAGATCTATACTTCAAATAACTTTTTATTCGCGAGAACTTTATTCCTACATAATTACGCGTGTATTCCTGCCACTGAAAATTTGATTCTCGCGTATATTTCTTTCACTAAAGATAATATAGAACAATAAAAAAAGTTCGCGAAAATTATGTCTCACTTATAAATACCAAAATGACCATTTCGTGAAAATAAGGTGTAACGAAAATTTAGTGATCTACAGTATTCAGAAAGTAGTATTGAAAGAATCGGTTGTTCACAATTAATCGTTAGTAAATAAGGTAAAAACTGAAGTACTGTTCTGATAAAATTCATCATTGTTATCTCTTTTTGTGTAATCTCAACCCCCCCCCCCCCCTTATTCGAATCAATAATTCCCATTCGAGTAACTCATCGAATGAATATAATATTCGAATATTCGTTGATCCCTAGTAATTTAAAATGCAAATAACATTGCCTAAATGATGTTAAACTTAAACATTTCAAATGAATAAAATAACTATGCAAATGTTAAAGTTTCTAATCTAAAGCATTTAAGTACAAAACAAATATACATGTACAAGGATTTACACATCCAGTGTTCAATGTAGATCAGTGGTTTTTCAATACTGTGTCAGCTGATACTTTAAAAAATTCGATAAAATAGAATTGTTATAGAATTGTTTGAAATTGTCATTTTATTTATTTTACCAAGAAGAGTAAAAAAATTTCTCACTCCTTATACATGTAAAAAAAATATGTATTAAAAGGAGCTTCTCTTAAATTTTCAGTTTTAAATATGTTCTATTTAATGATAAAATGAACATTCATGATGTTGTAAACACATTTGGCTTAGTTAATATGTTTCGTTGACAAAAAAAAAAAAAAAAAACAAACAAACAAACAAACAAAAAACAAACAAACAAACAAAACAAAACAAAAACAAAAAACAAAACAAATAAAAAAAAAACTTTTATCAGTTGTTGTTCTCCATAACTTGACTTCAAGTTTGAGTTTCGCATTATTTCCCTGATATGTTAATGACATGTTCACAATGAAGTAAAAAAAATTGCCACGAATCAACCGGTACCATAAATTGGAATGAAATGGCCATGTTTATATATATATATATATATATATATATATATATATATATATATATATATATATATATATATATATATATATATATATATATGTGTGTGTGTGTGTGTGTGTGTGTGTGAGGGTGTGTGTGAGGGTGTGTGTGTGTGTGTGTAGACGGTTGTGCTCCTGAGAAATTTTGCCAGTAAAAACAGTAAGCTAAATTACAGTCATACCAAGAAACGTCAGATCACCCCTGTTTTGCTTGTCAAGAATTTGTTATTCCCCTCCCCCCTCCTGGTTTCTATGGGCCAGGTATCATATCTGCCCTCAACAAAGAGGTCTGCTTTCTTTAACAGAAATGTCTTCCCTATAGTCACTATGTTATTGTTCAATTCAGTTTTCTGTTTCCTGTCATTTGATATGCTATCTTGACTTTATACCAACATGGTGCTGTCAATAAATTGAATTGAAAAGACGGAAGATTTCAAAAGGCTTTACAGCTTGAAAAAAACTTAATTCGACAATTAGCTATAGGCTGTCAAAAGTAAAACACTTCCGGCATCAGTATTGTGAATTCAAGCCCTACAAAGAAATTTCTGTTAAAAGAGTGGATAACAGATATTCTTGAAACTGTAAATTAAAAAAACTGAAACTGCAAACTGTAAATTAGCCTATAATTTTTACTGAGGAGCACAAATGTAAATTAATTTTCTTTTCTATAGTAAAGTATATACTGGGAAAATCATTCCCCCGGTTTCTATGGGCCTGGTGTCAAAGTAAGATCTTAAAAATCTACAAACAATAAAAATCTGTGAACAGGGCATAAAACATTAAGCCCCGGGAATTCTAGAAGTGAGATCAGGTGCCTAGGAGGAGTAAGCATTCCCTGTTGACCTGTCACAGCTGCCGTAACCCCTACATATTGATCAGGTAGATGGAACACTCCGTAGTCATATTTAGTATAAAAACAAAGGCCTGACAATTGGTATTAGACACGTCAGCTAATATATGACCCATTGTTAGCTTTATAGGTTATATTGGCTAAAAATGTCATTATAACGATCATAGAATTTATGGAAGTCTGACTTTAAACGATGTTGTTGAATTCCCTGTAACATCAACATATCTGTTATTATATAAGGAAAGTTGACGATGGAGAAATTGAAGACATCTCGTTTTTCATACAATTGTTTATAAGCCCTTATCGTCTATAGTCAGTAAAACAACAAAATATAAAACAGATGTGGCAGAAGCGGTGTTTTTTATTTCAAGTTTACTGAGATTTATCGAGTTGACAAATGAATGGAAGTAACTATTGTAAAGGGATGAAACTTCGTCTGCATATTGAATGTCGAGTTGAAAGCCACAACAAGTGTTATCTTCTTTTCATGTAGAAGTTTTGAATAAATTCTGCTTCAAAGGAATATGAAGACATGTCAGCTATTAGTGCCCATCGTATTCCGATCTCCGACGACTACATAAATGTTGTCGATGAGGAACTCCAACATTCTTTTAATATCAACTTCAGAATACCTGTGTGTAGAATCAGAGTGATATTTAACAAAATAATTTTTGTTGATGACCAATCAAAAGATACGAAAATTGCCTAGATCCGTTTTTATTTAAGATCAAATGTTACAAGTTATGTGTTATCACCCACTTAGTAAGGTAGATGTATAAAAATGTAAATTGTCACGGACGAAACATTTAACGTGTTGACAGAGAGGTTTCAACACTACATGTATATATAGTAGATTGCTGAGACACTAAGGGGATGCTTCGGGTTCTCCAACAATCGGTCGGAATGCATCCCTTGGATTTTCACAAACAATATATTTCGAGTATTGCTTTTGTATAACTTCCTTGATTAATTTTGATATGTGAATTTTAGATACCGCTAGAAACAATTTTCCTTATGCTCAAAGTCAATAACAAAAAATTTCTCCATATCTGTTAATGAAAAGGAGTGTTCATGTAACATTTTTAAAATAAATGCATGATTTTTATCCTGGTTTTCAATAACTTCTGTGTAGAATTCTGTATTGGAAAGCAGATGTATTATCTTTGTTTTATAGTAAGCTGCCTCCATAATGACAACGACTCTGCATTTATCAGCTTCTTTAATTATGATAGTTTCATCGCTTGATTATGATATTTAAGTTTTTTTCACTTTCTTTTAGACAAACTCTTTCTTACTGATTTACTATATGAAGTATCAAGAGGTAGGCTTTGAAGAATTTCACAAAGAGTTTCTGACATGTTATTTCATTCTTTCTATACATGTAACTGCACTTACTAAAGAAAGTTCGGATATATTGTTGTTTCCCCTGTCCGTCCGTCCGTCTGTCACACTTTCTCCTTCCTCAAACTCTACTTTTATTTTAAGCAGTAACAAATTAATCTTTTGGAAATCATATTCCTGGTGTCCTTTAGATGTGCAATAGGGTTTCGGAATTTTCAATTTTACCCTGAAGACCAAAGCTGAAAAAAGGCATTTTTCTACAAAAACCTGGCTCCCAGAAATTCTCTTACATTTTACGAAAAAGCCAAATCATCCTTTGGAAGATGGTTGTTGGTGTCCTGTAGATGTGCAACAAGGTTTCAGAATTTTCTTTTTCACCCTACGGTCACATAGGGGTCGAAAATGACGTTTTTTTTCTACAAAAACCTGGTTTCCAGAACTCCTCTTACATTTACGCATTGGCCAAATCATATTTTGGAAGATGATTAGTTGTGTCCTGTATATGTGCAAAGAAGTTTTGCAATTTTTTATTTTCTCCCTTGGGACCATATTGGCGTCGAAAGTTGGAGTTTTTTCCCCCCAAAAAAGGTTCTCAAAACTCCACTTACAATCCACGTAGTAGCCAAATCGTCTTTTGGGTGATGACTAATGATGTCCAGAAGATGAGCAATAAGGTTTTTTTTTTAAATTTTCTTTTTTCATTTTCACTCTAGGGGTCAAATGGGGGCTGAAAAAACCCTTTCAGAGAGCTATATTTTTATATATTTATATTTTATGTAGATTATAAATTAACTGTTGGGGCTTCTTTATTACCCAGGTACAAGGGAGAGTACATTTAGAGGCCAACACTTAACTGGGCATTACTGTCTAATGACAGCATCTAGTTGGGGATTGAAATTAGATTTGTTTCATACTGTATCTTTCGGTTTACTTAAATCATATGCATTACTCTCTGCAATGTTAAAAGATTTGCTAGTCATAATCTTCGAGTGAATTTTTAATGATTTTTTTTCTTTCTCACTTCTTGCTTCTCATTTCTTTCTTATTACTATTCTGAGTACCGGTAAGTGTGTATTTCAATTCTTTAAACAGAAGTATAATTTAACATTCATTCAATTGTTTACTGGTCGAGTCAATTACTTTTGGTTTCACACGTTTTTCATTGCTTGGTGGTGTTTCAATCTGTTTGGTTTGCATCGTTCCGCCTAAAATATACTTGTTAACTTTTTCTCCAATGTAAGTGGTACCGTTTTCCTTGCATCATATGTCAGTTTTAAATACTTGTATATTTAATAATCCCAACAATCAAAATGAATCTGAACTACCATACCCATACTGGATTCCTTAATTTCAAAACATCCTTACAAAGATACATAGCGGGTTCCAGTAGATGTTCCACCAAGCCTCTTACTTTACACCTCACTAAAAAATTAAAAGCAGAGAAACTTCAGGAGTACTGTACAACAATATATTCAAAAAGTGTAGTAAATCAGATGTGGATACTTTAAAACTCCAAGAAACTTTTCGAAAATTTCTAATTACAAAATTTACGAAAATCAATAACATCAAAACATACGAATTTTCAACAGTGTATACAATCATTCCCCATGATAAATTGAAGTCCAGGCTTTTTGACATCATAGACAGCTACTCTTTCAATAAAAATGGATCTCGTAAATTTACTTAACTTGTCATTGGTCATTTGCAAAATTATTTTGTTAAAAACATTTTGATTGCACACATCAGTACTCTAAAGTAGATATTAAAAAGATGCTTGGGTTTCTGATTGACAATATCTATGTAGTTTTTGGAAATCAGGTCTTCCAACAATCTGTCGGAATTCCCTTGGGTACCATTGTGTCATGTTATTAGTAGACTTATTTTATATTTATACGAAGCAGAATTTATTCAAACACTTATGCATGAGAAGAGGAAGACACTGTAGCCTTCAACTAGACATTTAGATAATATTGACGACGTATTATCAATTAAGAATAGTTACTTCCATTCATATGTCGACTCGATATTTCCCAGTGAACTTAAAATAAAAGATAAAAGAGTCTGACACATCTGTTTCATATTTGGATATTTTAATAGAAAAAGGTGTTAATGGTAACCGAACAACAAAACTTAATGATAAACGTGACTTCAATTTTTTCTGTTGTAAACTTCACTTACTTATGTAGCAATATACTCTTATCACCTGCATATGGGGTTTATATATCCCAGTTGATTCGATACGCAAGAGCATACTCATAGTATGAACAATTTCTAAAACGAGACAAGCTATTTACAAACAAGTCAATAAAACAAGGATATCAAAAGTCTCGTTTAAAGTCATCATTTCGCAAGTTCTATGGTCCATACAATGACCTTGTCAACAAATACAATCTATCATTAAGTCGAATGCAGGATGGTGTTTTTCATATTAATTGTTAGACCATTATTTAAACACTAAATTGTCTACGGATTTTTCCGTTTGTCCAATCATGACAAGGAGAACACGCGTACGACGGGTGTGACCGGTCGACGGGGGATACTTACTCCTCCATGTCACCTGATCTCACCTCTGATGTTTTAGAGGTCCGTATTTGCTCTGCTCTCGATTTGTATTGTTTTAATGAACTTTTGAGCTTGATTCCTGTTCGTAATTTCCACATTTCATTTCAGTATGTTTTTCCATTATTTCTAACATAATCTAATTGCCGTATTTCTTTCACTCTCCATCTATCCTGTGGTCGCCCGCGTGGCGCAGTGGTTAGAGCGTTTGGTCTAGAGTTGCGGTGTAAAGAGTTGATCCTTACGTCGTGGGTTCAAATACCACTGCGGGATGTTGAGACAGGTAATTGGAATGAGACCGTTTCAACCGATGTCCCGTGTCGCAGTAGGTGCTGGCACGAAAAAGATCTCTCGCTGCTCCATGGCCCTGAGTGCCTAGTATAGGTCCAAATTTGCAGCCCTCTACCGGCAAGTGGTGGCGTCTCCATATGAGTGAAAAATTCTCGAGAGGGACGTTAAAGAACAAACATCTATTCTGTGCACGTGTCTACCCCTTCTCACAATCGAATTCCAAATATTCTTCCTCTGGCTTTGTTCTTTAGGTCCTTGTTCATTTGCTTGTTCATTTACTCGTCAATTTGAAGGATTTTTTCTTGACTGTTTGTAGGTCTCATACGTAACAGTTGTATTTCTCCCTTCACTCTATCTAGAGCCATATGTTTTTCTGGTCTTCAGGTTCTCCATAGATGTCCGCATTTCTAAATGTTCTAAGTAAAAATGCTATTTCTTTTCCGACCTATTTTCATATTGATTTACATCATTTGCATTGCCCTACTCCAATCAGCTGTAAGTTTTTGTTTAATTTTGTCTGCCTCTTTTGTAGTGCAAGTTCATTTATTTCCTGCTAAATAATTTCACTTGATGGTTTATAAAATATCCTATTTTCTTCTGCACTTACAGATTTTTCAAACGAAATAGGATACATTTCAATCACCAAGTGAAATTATTCATAAGAATTAAATGAATTTGGACAGCAAAAAAGAGGAAAACAAAATTAATGAGAGTACGAGGGAGGGAAATGATTCTCGTCAAGCAAAACCGGAAACCTCTTCAACCAATTATTCCCCCCCCCCCAATAGTGATTGATGGACATACTACATGTAGTAGTTATATTTTTTTTCTTATATTTTTCAGATTATCTACTCGTCACTCGTTATACCTTGATCAGCGCTTGTGTCTTTGGTTCTCTATGTTTATTATGCTGTGTGTTTTCCATGTGTGAATCGTGTCGGCCATGTTGTAAAAAAGCAAAGATGTTTGCGAGAACAAATGTGATTTCAACGTTCATCTTGAGTATGTATCAACCATTTCAAGAGCGTCAATGGTGAATAATAATAATAAAAATTTATATAATCAAACTTAGTTTAATATTTTTCAGTTGTACTGGAAACATGCACAGTTGTGTCGTTTATGCTTGCTTTGGCGAAATTGCCCACGTCAGGGTCTCTAACAAAGGGCTGGTCGTTCTATGTGGAAGTGCTGTCATCGATTTTTACAGCTTTCGTTTTTTTCATCCTCATCTTCAGCATATTATTTTGTACGTAATATACTTTCTATTCTCCTTTTAAATGAAGTTATCATAACTGTGAACCCCAGCAATTTTTTGAAATTCAAGAAATGTCCAAAATGGTCAAATTGCCTGTAATCCTTCTAATGGAAATGAACATCATTAAGATTTATCACATGTTCTTCGGAGATATATGATATAAAGAAATGAGAAACATGCAAACAAGCCAGATGCCCAAGTCGGTGTTTTGGCTCAGCGAGTATATAGAGAATTTCATAGTCGTAGGTTTACCCAGGTATCTAAACGGTATAACCACAGTTCTGTCAAAAATGACAATCGATGCATGTCTTCATTCCGAGTTACAGTATGTTAACGGGTAGTGCCTTCCATGCTGTATACTAAGTATTTACATATATTGTGTAGATTTTATTATATGCGTATATGCTGGTCGACAGGGGATCCTCACTCCTCCATGGCACCTGATCCCACCTCTCATGTTTTAGAGGTTCGTGTTTGCTCTGCTCCAAAATCTGTATTGTTTAATGGTCCCTTGAGTTTGAATACTGTTATCTCCATACATTTCATGTATATACTCAATGAGACTACAGTACATTTGGTCGTGTTTGTGGCGAAGCATGTGTAGTAAAGAAGTAATTACGAGTCCTGCATGTATATTATGCTTATAATCGCACGAAATAAAACAAAAATTACAAAGTAATGAAAGGAACCCCCCATCATGATTCGAACACTCTCCCCGATATACGTAATGTAAGTTTGTTTTACCGGTCCGCACTGATCTGACCACTACGCTAAGAAAACACATAACTTAGCTTCTTAAATAACAAAGATTTCTTCTCTGCATTAAGCAAGCGTATTTGGACTTAGAATTTTTTTAGACCATATTGCAAAATATAAGTAAGTAAATCAATATTTAAGGATAGAGTGGGTCTTCGTACCATTATTTTATTTTTGCAAATGTATAAAGATACACCCCTCTATTACTTTTCATTCGTTTACAAAACATGAAGTGATGGCAAACTCTATTAAAAAAATTAGTTTTAATATTCCATTTCAGCCAATTTTCGTGTTATTTTTGCATGTTGTCATTTTGATGGGTAAATTACAATCAATTTCTTAGTCGCAGTATTCTGTAATTGTCAACATTATATGCATATGATTATGAATATATTTTCATTCAAGAAGAAGTGGAAGTTATGAGAATTTTTTGTCGATTTTTTATCTGTAATTATGTAGGCGTATGACTCGGTTAATACCTCAAGTTTCTTTAAGAAAATGTGACATATTAAAAGAAATATGTTTTTAATCGAAATGTTTAATTTATCAACATAATTATCAACATAATTTTGTAAATGCAAACATAGTCTTATATTTACATTTGCTGTGTTTTTCTACTAAGCCAACTGTGAAATTGATTTGAAAGTCATTTTTGTGTATACTCACGCGTAGAAATATACACGGTGAAACTCGCACTAAAGTGACGTCACAATGAGGCTACAGAGACATAAATAAAAATGTAACGTTCGATATAGGGCAGCAAGAAATTTAAATATCGAGTATATTATTGGTGCTTTTAAACTTGTAAAATGTAAATATAAGAAATGTTCTTAAGCTTAGTGTGAATTATTGGTCTGTAAATCACACAAACTTGCACGGAGGCATATTTTTCATGAAGCGCTAGCGTTACAAGTCTGTGTGATTTACACATCAATAACTCACAAAAAACTTAAAAACATTCCTTAAGTAAACTAGTACCTGTAAATCATTCAAGGAAATGCATAAATTGTAACTCGTTAGAAGTTAGGAAAACTTGAGAGAGGGAGATCTAGAAGTAATGAAGTAAAATTAAGAGAACATGCTCTTTCAGCAATTCAAATATTTTTGGAGATTGTTTCATTTTGCGTGGAAATTTCCAAAAATATTCAATATTTAGGGCCATGGCTGTGTGGAAAAATGTATTCAAAAATACTATCATTGAAGATCTATACAGTGTCTTCAAATTGGTACTATTATAATAAAGTTCTCAAATGTTTCAATATTATGCAATATAGGAAAGTTTTTGTGAGAAATCTCTTGGAAGAAAATAACAGCGTTTAAGAAAATTGATAAATAAATAACTACCTATTTATTTCAATTTGTGAAAAATGATAGTAATAAAAATAATCAGTAGAGAACATGTTCTTTCCCGTTATTTCCATAAACATCCTCCATCTTGATTGGTAATAAAACAGCCAGTACTTGCATACTACATATTATGTACATATATGGTATAGTAGACATATTTTTATTTACCAATGAAGATGAAGAGTGCCTAAAAATATTTCTGTAGAGATATTTAACTGACATTTTTGATTATTATTGTTTGATTGCCTGATGCTAAATTACATATCGAATTTGAATTCTGCTAAGTCGCTGAAAATGAATCAGGTTATTAAAATCTGAAATATTTCCAACACGGCTGCCGCTGCACAGTTCATAGACCGCGATAATTCCCTAACATTGACCACAAATAATGGCCAATTTATAAAATTGTATATCTGGAATTGAAAATTCCCTGTGTCAGTAAATATATTTTAAAGAGGGTAGGTTACATGAAATTCCTTACATTTCCTTAAGTAAACTAGTACATGTAAATCATTCAAGGAAATGCATAAATTATGGAAGGGAATATATTTCCATGATTTTATTATCTTTTCTGCGGGTCTTTTTAAAATAAACCACTTTCCAAATATCATTCCCACTCACACTTCTTTCAAATCTTTTTATTCGTCACTTACTGTATCTAGATTTGACTATGAATTGTATCTAAGCGTAAGACTTTACCGTTTCTAGGCAACAAAAAATACTGTCTGGATCATACAGCATTTGTGTCTCGTTCCTCTAACGGTAAGACTTCAACTGTTCAATGAAAACATTGATGTTAATTGTATTTAACATTGCACATTACAATGTAATAATGTGAAAGATTTTTATACCAAAAATAACTTTTTAAATAATCTTGTTCACACCAAATTCTAAGAGTAAAAATACAAAATCAAGAAACGCAATGGAAAAAGAAATCACATACATATTCGTTACAATTTTTTCAGTACATGTCCCTCGGAGAGAGAGAGAGAGAGAGAGAGAGAGAGAGAGAGAGAGAGAGGTGCAATACTGTACACGAAGATGATGGCATTAATGTAGAATTTAGTTAAAGATTTGAAAGACGTTTTTCTTAAACTTTACATTTTCAGAAAAGTTACACTTTACAAAGCCCCCTAGGAGTGTGAATGTGGACGTTGGGAAATCAGTGTCGGTGACTGCAGAAGTATTAAACGCCGACAACGTTTACTGGTGCAAAGGAAGAGATCACGTGATCAAGTATTCCACTTCTTTCACCGAACACTTTGAATCCCCGAAAGCTGAATTAAAAATACAAAATACAAGACTTCAAGACGAAGGCGAATATACCTGTGTTGCGGAAAAATATGGGAAAAACAAAGCCAAACGAAAACATAAATTCTCCATTTATGTCTTTCATGGTATCTTAATCTATTTATTAAAAACTAAGAATTTTATGTCATTTGAATAAGGTATCCGAAACGTCCTCGTCCATCTTACTTGAAATTCTGACATTTCTTCTCTAAATTCAACTTAACTTACCTCAAAGCATCTATCGGAAATAAGGATTATTTAATATAAACGCCTTGGATCATGCAAACCCCATTACTGATTGGATGATTAAAGAATCCCAAGAAGCAATAAGTTAGATATGACTGGTTCTGAAAGGACCCAAAGTTATACATATATAATATAGAATATTTCTATGAATTTCAATTCTTTCTAAGAATAATCACACTGTTAAATTATTATGCAAATATTCTCAAGGAACAAAGTTGGTTGAAAATATGATCCAGAGGCCACATTAGGAGGGGGATGGGGATACTGTTTTATAAATCTAGATACTAGTCCTTTTGTACCCGGAGGCACTTAGGGCGAGGACTAGGGATTTCCATGCAACTCTTTCCTTAGCTGTTTAGCTCATCTGAGTCGAAGGCTCAAGTGAACTTTTCTGATCGAAGAGTGTCTACCGTCTATAAACTTTTTAACATTTTCGACTTCTTCTCAAGAACCACTTGGCCAATTTCAACGAAACTTGTCACAAAGCATAGGTGAAGCGGATTTCAATTTATTGTCAGTCCCTCTTTCAAGGGGGAGATAATTAACAATTCATAAAATTTCGATGGCAGCAGAACCATTGGGCCAGAAAAAAATGAAACTTGTGTGAGGGCGTTATTACATACTGAAGATTCAATTTTTTTTCAAATCATGTTCCCTTGGTTTTAGAAATTTTACACAGGAATATATAGGCAATATCTTAAAAAATCTTCTCAGGAAAAACAAAGTCATGCTCAATCATATTATTACAGAAGAATCCTCAGGTAGTGTAGATTTTAGTTTTTTCAAATCATGACCCCGGGGGGTAGGTCGGGGTCGCAACAGGAGATCACTGTTATACAAAGGAATATATAGGATACAATTTTACAAATCATCTTCTCAAGAACAGCAAAGCCTTGGTTAGCCATTTTCATACAGAATCAGTAGAATTAAGAATGTTCAAATCATGATCCCTTGGGGACAGATGATACAAACAAATTTTTTCTATCAAGGAGACTTAATATCATGTCACAGTTTTAGAAAAGTGGATAATTCTTTGAATTTTTCTCCTTAGACTTGGAGAATGAAATACCTTCCATATTTCCCCCAAAAAGTACACAACTAGAGTAATCATGGTAAAATTGTTAAATCATCATTCATTTACCCTCTTTTTTTCTTTAAAAATGTTCCTAAAGGCGCACAGAGTGAATTGTTATTAATTTACTCAATAACCTGTTTTGTTACATTTTCAAAAGTGAAATACTGTGATTTATTTATTGAATAAAAGTGATATTCTCTCACAGTGTGAAAGGATACTAAAATGATATCCTCTCACAGTGTGAAAGGATATCAAAGTAAATAAAAAATAGTTTCTGGACTGTCGTAAGATAGAGATAGTAACTAACCATCTTGATAGAGCTAAAACTGCAATTTTTTCCCCAAATATGTTGCTAAAAGCCATGCTATGTAATGTTTTCAATCTCACAACCGCTAAACTATGACGTCTCAACCGCTCAACTATGACGTCAAGCCTATGACACTGTGTTAAGAAAAGACAGAGGCAAAGGGAAAATCAAAGAAAATGTAATAAAAAGAAAATTCAATGTTTTGTAGATGTCTCACTCGTGAGACAAGATTTTTTTTATATTTTCACTCGTGTGTCGCACTCGTGAAAATATCAAAAAATCCTGTCCCGCTCGTGAAATAAATTCCATATTCATCTACAAAACATTGAATATCCTCTATTTATTTTTTTTTTTTTGCATAAAAGAAATGACGCTTGGAAAATATTAGTTGATACTTCAATAAAATTACAAATATGGACAAATCACACTCAGTAAAGGTTTACAGATGAAAATGAATTTCAGAATATGTTAGCTTGGTGCTAAAAGTGTAATATAAACTTTAAAAAAATATATAAATATATACCAAGCCAGGTGAATTTTATGAGGAAAACCAAAATGGTAAAAATCAGCCAACAGCAGATGTTACGTAATGTTTTCCTCCATTTTTGTGACGTCACAATGTGAAAATGACGTCAATATGTAGATGACCTGTGACAGAAAATGGTTGACTCAGTCGTACTAGAGCAACGAACAACTTTAAAGTTTTTATATCTTGGAAATTCCTTTGCAGAAGCATATACTAATTTGTACAAGGTTTTTGAAGACAAAAGGCTTGCCAGAAATTCAATCATTAATTGGATTGATTGTTTTAGCGAAGGGAAATGGTTAAAAATGATGTTTGTTCTGGTGCCAAGTGAAAGTAAGCTGGGGAAAAGAGGTTTCTTTAGTTTAGCAATCTCTTATGAAAGATCGCCAAGTTACAGTTAGAAAAATAGTTGAATATCTTAACAATAATATAATTATTAAATCCCTAAAATATCATTTACGTTAGACTTTAAACATATTAGATATGATAAAAAAGAAGGCGCCCCATACTTTATCCATATTGGATAAACGACGCACTCAAGACAAAAAGTCGGGTTGTGATGGTCACCATGCTCATTCTTGGAAAGGGTATTCTTATCCACCCATCCTATTGCCGAGATTGGGCTATTTGTGACAAATGGACTATTCTTGTTATAAAAAATAACTTGCATGGTAAGAAATATGACTCGGAAAAATCTTTTAGCCTCTGTGGATAGAACGCTACGGAATATGTCACGTGACCGCCTGGCTCACGTGATTCGTGCATGGGTAGAACGGTTGCAGATGTGCATTTAAATCCGAGAGGGCTACTTTATAAAATCATAAACACTGAAACCTAATTTTATTTCTTTTATGGAAGTTATTCAATTAGTTTGCGAAATTTTTTATCACCCCTCATCAGGATCGGTGTACAAAATTGATGGTTATAAACAGACAATTGCAGTAAAGACGGACTAAAATCTCTTTTGGAGGATTGTGGGATTAAAAACATAACGAAATAATAAATAAAATTATGACTTTATAGTAGGCGACACAACCGTTCCTTGGAAAACACTTTTTTATTATCTCATGTAAATTTTTATTGCAATTTTTGTAGGCTAAAATATTCTCAAGATTTTTTCGAGACACCAATTATGCAAGCTTAATGTTGTGTTTATATCCTTTTTTCTTTCATACTCTAACTCTCAGCTCCTGTCAATGAGACGGATAATACCGGGTTTACAGTTATTATACAATGTGTTCGACTTCAATATTCTCTTAAGCTTGACCAAGGATCCTCTGGCTTTTTCTAATCTTGCTTTTATGTCCCTGTCAATGCCGCCTTCTGATATTACAACACTTCCCAGAAAGTATAATACATGTTTTTCTATGTAAAAAATAATTCATTCTATCATAGGGTTCCAAAATAGCAGACAGGGGAAAAAATGAGATGTCCCAGTAAAAAAAAATGCTGTATGATCCGGAAGTGGCCGATAAGGTTTATAAACGCCTAGTTTAGCATTCCTGTAAAAAAAATAATCAAAGTAAATCCTAAGAAACCACATATATTCTTGGTACAGAAACAAAGCAATTATAATCTTTCAATATTAAAATTTCAGTTCAGCCGGTATTTACAAAAAAGCCGGAGAATGTCACTGTACATGTTGGTAGTGTGCTAAACTTGGAGGCCAAAGTAAATAATGCAGAATCTGTTACATGGACGCATAACGGAAAAGAACTTATCAATTCTTCAAAAGAAAACATAGAACTGAATTTTCTGCACGGTGAAGCCTCTTTAAGAATCGGAAAAGTGACAACGGATCATGACGGGGATTACAAATGTACTGCTAGATCGGGAAATGACCCACAGAAAGCGAAGAAGGATTTTGCACATTGCAATGTTAGGGTCGTAAATGGTAGGTTCATACATTTCAACAAGACACAGTGATAAATATAACAGAAGTGTCTACAAATTTAAAGAAAACACAATACATTTACCCATTTGACATATTTTTTATACGCCTCCATTGTAAAACAAACACAATGACATCAAGTATTCAATGGGATTTCAAAAAAAAAAAATGCTTATAAAGAATTTAGTTGACAAATAATGGCTTAAGTCACGAAAGCAATTTTATGCCCCCGTAATCGAAGAATCCGGGTATATAGTTTTGGCCCTGTCCGTCCGTCTGATTGTCTGTCTGTCTGTTTGACTGTTTGTCCGCAAAAACTTTAACGTTGCCCGTAACTTTTGATTTGTTGGAGATGGCTTTGTAGCAACCGCTACAACGCAATCTCCAACCAATCAAAAGTTGGAGATTAATGATTAACGCTTAATGATAGAAATATCATTAAACGTTGCAATTGCACAGTTTAATGCCATCAATTATTGCATTGATAGTTGACACTGCAACCGCTAATGCTAAATCGCCGCTTAATGAAAGAATTATATCGTTAAGCGATTGAGAATGTTAACTATTAATGCAATAATTTATAACATTAAACGTTGCATTGCAACGCTTAATGAATGCAACGCTTAATGATATTTCTATCATTAAGCGGCGTTTTTTCATTAGCAGTTGCTAAGTGGCTTTCATATTTCACATGTATATTCCTTGTGACAAGAGTTTCCTTTCGGTACCAACATATTTGACATTTTGACCTTGGAGTTTGACACACTTTTGCAAAAATTTACCCAACTTTAACCTTGGCCATAACTTTTGAATAGTTGGAGCTAAGTCTTATATATTTCACATGTCTTTATCGTGACAAGACCTTTCCATGGGTGTAAATATTTTTGAACTTTTAACCTTGACCTTATAATTTGACCCACTTCTAAAAAAATTAACCTTGGCTATAACTTTTGAATAGTTAGTACTAGGGCTTTCATATTTCACATGTGTATTCATCCTGACAAGACCTTTCCATGGATGTAAATATTTTTACCTTTGAACCTTTTGACCTTGAATGTTAGAGATTGACCCACTTTTGCAAAAACTTTAACCATGGCTATAACTTTTGAACAATTAGTACTAGGGCATTAAAATTTTACAGCTATATTTCTTGTTACTCGACAGTCCTTTGGATACCAACAATTTTGACCTTCACCTTGGAGTTTGACCTACTTTTGAAAAACCTTAACCTTTGCCATAACTTTTGAATAGTTGGTTCTGCGGCTTTTATATTTTGCATGTGTATTTCTTATGACAAGGTCTTCTACAGCATACCATTAATTTTGACCCTTTGACTTTGAGCTTAACCTGCTTTAAGAAAACATTAACCTTGCGATAACTGTTGAAAAGTTGAATGGGGTGCTTTGTCTTTCATATTTACCAGGTATATCCATGGACACAAGTCTTTTCTTTGGGTAACAACATTTTTTATTTCTTGATCTTGACCTTGGAGTTTGACTCGCATTCGAGAAACTTTAACCTTCGCCTTAAGCTGCCACACGGGTACATCAGTGTTTCACAAACACATCTTGTTTTAACCTTAACTTTCTTACTTGTGTTAAATAAGCATGTGAAATTGTATTGCAGCTGAACTGCCATCATTTGAAAATGCACCAGGATCTAAGAATATAAAGGAGGGCGACATTCTAGAAATAGAATTAAAAGTTTGTGGATTTCCTTTACCAGAAAAAGTTTCTTGGTTCAAAGGAAACGACAGGCTAGAGATGAACAAACGAATAACAATGCACTATATTGAAGGAAAATCAAAACTAGCCATACAAGATACAAGGGAGGCCGACTCGGGTTTATATGAATGCTACACCGAAAACATACATGGAAATAACGTATGTCGGATACCTGTTAAGGTTACGAAGGTGAGAATTTCTCTTCTCCATCATTACCTTCATGGTGCATCACCTCATGTACATCATGAAATTATCTCATTACTTTAACAAATAATCACTGAAAAAGATATCATATGTTGACTGCCCATTTTAATTGAGTGCTATTTCAGAGGAATTGTTTAAAACCCAGATCATTCATTGACTTGTCTGACAAAGTAAGAATTTGCGTCGTGCTAGATTCTTTTTTCCCCAAAAACCCCAAAGTTTCGGAGGATGATTCTTTGCATCTTGGGACTGATTTCTATTGAATTAAGCTCTCTTCTCACTCCTCCATTCTTTTAAAATATAATCACTCGCGATCGGCGACCTTGACCTTAAATCAAGATATACCTTTGGATCATTCGCATAGTCGTAGTCATATTGAATTCATCCCAATCAAGGGTTTTAGAGCTATAGACAGGGCACGACAAAACAACGAAAATTGGATCAAAAAAAAAAAAAAAAAAAAAAAAAAAAAAATGAAGCCACAGTATCTTGAAAAATAATAGTAAGGCATATGTATATTTGCTCGAGAACATTTTGTTAGTGATTAAGTCCGTAATCGTGACAAACATTTAGATCATGAACAACAACATTTGAATCGATTCCATTCAAGTCTGATGGTCAGATTGAAACACACAACAATACCTACGTGTGTAGGTCTCCTCTGAAATGAGGACATATCATGGTAAATAAAGGGTGATAGGAATAAGTGCCAAAGTTATGAAATTCACAACGCATGACTATATATGTTTAGATTCTACACACTTTTTTTTTAATTGGCCTCTGTACCTGGAATCCTTGCAATAAGAATTTAATATGTTAAAGTCATGGAATAAGTAACTTGGTCTACAATATAAGAAATTTATTAACTTTTAAAACAGTATAAACATTTGCTGTTTGTTGTAATTCAAAATACTTGTTAACCCCTTTTAAGATGGAGCTTTGCAGACACAATATGATGTCTCTCAGAGGGATAGATTGTACAAAATATGCTGATTCAACAGGGTAATTCTTAGTATATGTAATAAGTACAGTAAATATCATCACGTATCAGGTTCATTCAAACTGCATCTATTTGAATTATTTTAGGATGGGCAGTCGCAAGAGAGGATCGAATGTCCCATCTGCATGGACCGTCGTCCAGACAAAGTCTTACAGTGTGGTCACGTCTTCTGCTCGGAGTGTTCGGGAAGATTTACCGAGTGTCCCAATTGCAGGGCTCCTGTTCAAATTTTAACCAGTCTATTTCTTTAGTGTATTTCAATATTCTTCTCAGAAGCAGGTTTAAGTGACATCACCTGTTCGAATAGATGATATCACCTATTTAATTTGAATGAGTGATATCACTTATTCGAATAGCAGATATCACCTTTTCGAATAGGTGATATCACCTATTAGAATAGGTGATATCACTTAATGGCAATAAATACCAAAACGGCGCCTCAATTAATAGCACCCTTTCCCAGCATTTCGCGTACTTCTTGTTCAAATGGAAAGTACCAATTACTATAAATAAATTGACTTGGCGCATTGGATATGCATTGACTTCAGGAAACCGTTTATGAAAAAAATATGCGGAACTGCTTCTACATGTATATTATAGAAAATAAATCCCGGTAAACTTATGCTCTGATTTAGGTTATAAATTCACGAGAAACACTTTCTAAAACTATATACGAGATATTTCTCTTTTATTACTTCACAACTAGCCTCTCTGTGTATTTGCATATATCACTATAATCAAATCAAAATATTTTTACATAATTTTAATATTTTTAATTTGTTTGACATTTTGCAGACTTATGTATTCAGATTTTTTCTCGGCTGTTTTCAAGAGTTTTGTTTTCATAAAATGGTCTAGATCACTATTCGTTTCGGGAACTACTGCTGCATCTTAACTATCCACATTTTCTCTTTATGTGTCTTTTCATTCCAAAATAGTAGAAAACTCCATGTTATTTTAAGCCCAGGTAAGGTTAAATTGAAATGCAGACAGGTTGGAACAATAATGTATAGATCTATATGTTTACTTCTGATGTGTATACTATGTGGAAAATACATTATTAACTATCTAAAGTAAATGAATAAAATAAAAAGGTAATACTAATAATTATCATTAATACAAAAAAAAATCTGAAACTTTGGGAGGATTGAATCGGGTACTCCAGACACAAAAACAGTTCAGCGTACACCACTAGGCTACGCACGCTATTAAGAAATTATCAAATACCGTGTCTTTTGTGTATATATAGCCCAATGTTTGAGTCTTTTGGAAAACAGGACATCTGAAGTATATAATCAATTTTTGATATAAAGACCAAGTTAAACCAAAACCAAAAAAGATTTTAATTTAACAGTATACTATTACATCAAAAGAACATAACCCATTCAAGCCCATGCAAATATGTGAATTTCATTGATCTTGTTTGAGATAATAATGACAATTTTTGTCAGTACTGGTATAATTGGTATTTTTCCATAGCTAGATTAACTAAATATCATGAAATATTGAAATATTTTGAATGTTTGTAAATGCGCTATATTGTAGACCATGTAGTATACTGAGTACGCTATATACATGTACCTTTGTCCACACAAGTTGTAAATTGATTGGATGAACTTTCTTATAAGCTTCTCTGTGTAGACTGATTGCAATCAGAATAAAATTTCATACATTTTGGTTACATGTAGTATATTTCTTTGATTATTGTGGTAAAAACAAAAGCCTCATATCGTCTCGAAGTGTGCTGAAGTGCATTTAGTTGCGTATATATATGATCATTGTGTTAATTAAGGAAGTTAAAGAACCGGTACCATTGCAGATTTATGTTTTGTAATTGTATGCGTCTATTAAATATTATTATTGTAAATAATTCATTTCGTTTGAGTGAAACGAATTAGAACATATATATATATATTTAATTTAAAGTGTTTACTTTGAACATCGCGTCATTTGGTTTTCCTACCGTGTGCGATTTTTCCAATTAAGCACAACGTGATTGTAAACACCGGAAGTAAACAAAACAGCCCCAAAACAGTAACACATGCAGCAACAGGAAACAAAAAACGGGACTGGACACATTCTGTTTATTTCTTTCTAAGAGTAATAACTACGAAAATGACTAGTTCAGGACTGAGCATTTTTAATGATCTGGAATTTGAAGCCGTCATTAGAGAACTGGACACTCCAAATGTTGATGGTTGGGAGTTTTTCACAGAAAGCCACGGAGTCAAAATATACAGACAGTATAACGAGGTAAAAGCCAGGAAAATATAAAGAGGATGTTGTGTGTGGCAAAAGCTATATTATGTAGATGAAATAATGCAATTATTTTTTCACATAACAGGGATTTATAACCATTTTAATATTATGCCTAATGATGTAGTGCAGGTAGTGGGTGCTACATTTTTCATACACAAACAATTTTTAAAGAAACTGTTGTCATGGTAGTTTTTCCATGTATTTTGTTGTCAAGAATAGTAAAGCATCAGTGCTATTATAATCTTTACAGTATTTACTACAATTTGACAATCACAAGGAGCATTTTGTTTATTACACTGTAAACCAAAAAATTATCGGGTAGACTTTACTTTACCGGTCCCCAGATCAGCAAGATCCGCACGCTCATTGCACTATGACATAAGATTTACGTCACTCAACTGATAAGGGTTAGTCTTGCACATTTTTTGACTGGTTAGGGTTAGTCTTGCACCCACCTGAGAGATTAGGGTTAGTCCTTGCACAAGTTTTCAACTGATTAGGGTTAGTCTCGCATCCATCCGAGAGATTAGGGTTAGTCCTCGCAAATGGGATAGTCTAGCATCCGCCCGGGAGATTTGGGTTAGTCCTCGCATACCATCCGAGGGATTAGGGTTAGTTTCTTGTTGTTTTTTTTTTTTTAGATAAATTAAGAAATTCAGTTGCATATCTGTATATTTTGCAAGATCTAAATTCAGCTTTCACGAATCTCTTTGGTTTTTACATGAAAAAATGGCTAAGTATGAAAGAAACCACTCGGCACACCTCGAAGGTGACGGAATCAGCCGAGGTTTGCCGAATGGAAAGAAACGGCACTAAGCATGCGCCGCACGTGCTTCGTTGACAATTATTTTTCGTCTCCTTTTCACTGAATAAACAATATTAATCACTTTTTTCAGAAAACTTGGTTAAAAACTTTGTTTAAAAACGAAGTTTTAAACTAAACTTTTAACCGTAGAATTCGATTTTGGGATCAAAAAGGCTAAAAACCTCATACTTTTAATTTTTTTCGATCGCTCACACGATCTCATATATACTGAAGTCGCCTACGGAGACACTATATTTTAGTGCGTTTTTCTGGGGACCGGTAAAGTAAAGTCGTTCCAAAATATCTTGATATTTGATTCTTTTATTTTTCAGCCATTTTAAAAATATTGCAAAAAAGTTATCATATGCAACTGTACATGTATTAAAGTATTAAATAAGACACAGATACTCAAAAAAAATGAAAAAAAATACAATGTCACAGTGGTCCATGTCACATTGACAAGTTTTGTGTGTATGGGTTGATACAGTGTACTTATATTTGATGCATTTAGGATTTGAAACTGTCATAGCAAAGCTTGTAACATATTTTGATTACTGGTATCTAATGAAAAAATCTGAACATCATAATTTTTTCTTATATTCCACTGTTTACTTTTAGACTTCAGGGCTTTATGAATATAAGGTTTATGGTACACTAGATGACTGTCCACCAGATGTGTGCGCACAGGTGTATCTTGATCTGGAGTACAGGAAAATTTGGGACAGTTATGTCTCTGGTAAGCTAATGGTTAATTAGAACTGTATAATGGAGATTTAGTAATTCTTTGCTCAACCAACTGTTGTTGGATTTCCAATTCCCAGTTCAGTCGAATTGAACAAAATTAAAAAAAAAATGAAATGATTGACTGCAAAAGCTATTGCATCAAAAGTTTAAGAATTGCCCTAAACTTAAATTAAAATTTAAAAGTTGAAGAATTTCTAGATGCAGAAATCATCTCGTTAAACATTACAATTCTGTCCACTAAAAGTCCATAATTTCCATAAATGGTAATTAAATGGAACCTCAAAAGAAAAGAAGAAAGTAACATGTGTAAACATGTATTTGAATGTAATGTGTATAAGAGTGTAAAATGTAAACATGTATATGAGTGTATCGTGTGTAAAAATGTAGAGTGGTACTGAAATATTATACATGTCATAACCTGTCACTTTGATTCTAAAATTGGGTCCTTTTTGCAGAAAATTCTGATAAGGAGTGTTTTGTAGTACTTACATTTAATACCTTTATTTTGTAGAGTTGTATGAAAGAGAAGCCAATGGGATGAAGGTTATATACTGGGATGTTGCCTACCCATTTCCTATGTCCCATAGAGATGTATCCTCTTTTGTTCTGATTTTGATCATTTCCCTTAAAAACACTATTAATTAAGTTCTAAATGATGACTGGATTCTGATAAGTGAAGTTCTACATGAATTTTGTTTAAAAAAGCAAACATGCCATCAAGTAATAATACTGTTCATGAATTTAAAAAATATATTTTCATTCTTTACTTAATATTTTTTTTTTTTGTAATTTGAGATGATATAGTAATACTTTATTAATGACAAAAATGTGAAGATAATGAATCATTTTCGATCTCATAAATCCTCTTATCAATACAAATACTGAACAGAACAAAAACAATGGCCCTTGGAAACACCAGAGTTGGGATCAGGTGCCTAGGAGGAGTAAGCACCCCCTGTTACCTTGAGCCCTTTTTATTGATCAAGTAAACAGAGTAATTCGTAGTCAAAATAAATGCAAAAAGAATGGCTTAACAATTGTATGAAACATGTCAGTCAAAATATTGACCATAGAATTTGTGAAATAATGACTTAAATATTCTTCTTTTTTTTCTGTTATCTGTAATTTGATTTCTTATTTTGAATGTATGCCAACATGGTGATGTCAATAAATTGAATTGAATTGAATATATATTTAGTTGTAAGAGATTGAAAAGATCATATTTTTCTTTCCTCATCACAATTGTAAAACTTTAAATATAAATGGTAAACTGAGTTTGAAATCTAGCAGGGACTATATTTTTGGTGGAATGGTGGCATATGAAAATATCTTCTTTTCTTGCCTCTCAAAATTATTATAGAACAATGACTTCAGTTATAATTTTTACACAATCAAAGAAATTTTTAAATGTAAGTTAAATAATAATAAGGGACTAAAGTTTTAAAATATATCAAATAAATATGATTTTCCAAACAAACTACAATTATGTTAGCTTTTAAAAGCTTCCAATCTAAGTACAGATTTGGGCCAAAAATCCGTAAAAAGCGTTTTTTTCTCTCTCAGTAAACGATAACACCTTTTTGTTTTTATATCATTTTGTATCTTTATGTGATAACTTTACCATATGTGAAAATAAGAAAAATTTAGATATAGGAAGCATATAAAAATTACTAAAATATCCTAAAAATTTAAGAAAAATAGAGAAAATTTGGATTAGCCAATATCCATTATAGTTGAATTATTTATGTCAATATGGTAATATCATCTTATAGACTATGGTAATATCTCTTTATGCAGAAAGAAAAACATTTTATCTTTTGAAATAGAAGTAGGCATGGCATGATTGGCAACAGTAATATTTTATTCTTAATGTCGAGGGAAAAGGTAATGACCTTGACCTGACCTTGCCTCTAATATAAAACAGTCAAATTTAATGTAATTGATATTATCACTTGGTGATATTGTCTTCTTGATTCTGTGAAAATTTCAATGATTTTTAAATACTAGAAATATGAGAAGAATCCCTCCTTCAAACCAGATGGGTGAAAGCCTTGTCACATCAACTTATTTGGCAACAACCTGCCTTGGTTTAAATACAGATTGTACTCAGAACATGCTCATAAACATCATATACTGGTGATATTGGAATACTATTGCATAAAAATTGGAAGTTGAAATATTGTCAGTAAAAAGTCAAATATTAAACAGATGTGGCAGACTCTGTGGTGTCATTTATTTCTAGTGGGATATATTCAGTCAACATATGAATGAAAATAACTATTGTTAATTGATTACACAGCAAGAGGTTTCTTCTTCTTATGTAGAAGTTAAATCAATATAATAACATGGCATATGTAATGTAGAGCTATTTTAAAAAATCTCTGATATTATAAGTTCTTAACTTAAGGAAAAGTATGTTTATAAAAGAGAATATAAAGAAATAGAGCACAATGGTCATAAAGTGTATGCAGTGATGGCAAAAAGTGTTGAGTGTTCAGAAATTCCAGAGAAGTCTGGAGTAATCAGAGTAGATGACTACAAACAGAGTTGTGTTCTAACCACGGATGGGAAAGTGGGGTCAAAAGGTAAATAGTCAATTCTTAATCAGTAAGGAGCTCTTAAAGACAAACAGAGTTACATTGTATGTTCTTACCACAGACAATAAAGTGGGGTCCAAAGGTAAATACAGAAATTGAGTCGAATTTCAATTCTAAATAAGATAGGAAAACACAGCTGTGTTCTTACCATAGATGATAAAGTGGGATTGAAAGATGAATAAGGAAATTATATAGATTTAATAAACCAGAAACGATAATAGAAAACTCCTTAAACAGAAAATCTAAAAAAATGTTTTACAATGCTGCAATGAAAAAATTCACAAAGGATTTTTTGTTGTTGTAGCTTTCATGAGGTATTATGACAATCCAAAGGGTATGATTCCAACATGGTTAATTAACTGGGGAGCAAAGGTATGTAAAAAAAAAATATTTCTATGTAATACTCTGAAAATGTAAATAAGTAGTTTTACTCAAAATTGTTTGACACGTGAATATTCTAAATTGTTTTGCATGAAGTTTCCCTGTTTGTGAAGTTTACAATACACGTTATGCCAGTGAAGACTTATTGTTGTCTGGTATGACTTGTGTTTCCAAGTCCTTATAAACAATTTTATTTTAGTGTATGAGAAGGAAAATTCTGTAAGAGTTTAGAAAAACATTTGGTAATTTTTACATAAATGACCAATTCTTATTGGTACATTTTAAAAGTAAAATGCAGTGTATTTAGATTGATAGCAATTTTCATATTTTAACCATTGAGTTGGTGTAAAAAGAAGAACGTTTTTTTTTTTTTGAAGATTTTTCGAATTTAAACCTCAAATCATACCGATACATGTAATAGATTATTCAGAGTGTGTAGAGAACATAAAGACTTGAGTTGCTGTATGCAAAAAATGAACATTTAAGTGTTCCTCAACAGTTTATATGACAGAATAAGTATATTTTCATGTGAATTTCTGGGTTAACAATAGGAATTATGTTTTTGTTTACAGACTGGTGTTCCATCTTTTTTGACAATGATGCAGAAAGCTTGTCGTGGATATCCAGAATACAAAGCTAAAAGAATGATCACTCGTTAACAGGGTACAAAATTACATTTGACATGTAGACACTCCTATATTTGAACTCAACTCTGGGAATTTTTTACCATTTTCTCACATTCTTTTGTTGTTTTTACATAAAAATCATATATTTTGTACTTCATGAGGTCATCGCAACATCTTTTTGTTGCGTGCTGTCTTAAATGTTGAAACTTGTGATATTCGTTTTGTGATATTCATGTGCAATTTCTTTATATGACTGAAAATGTGTTCTTTTTTATGTAATTAGAATTAAACTAATATGACATATGGAACAGAAAATGAATTATTTTTCTAAAATCTGATGTTATTGTAACCGTTTTGTTTCATATTTTTTCATTTGCTCATGATTAATCATTACTTAATAACAAGCAATCGGACTCTGTCGACATTGATGTAGATCAAAGTTTATTTGAAGTGTTACATTTGTTGAAGAAACATCGATTTATGGGGGTTGAACCAATATTCAGCAGAACAATTACTACTGGAGAGAAATTTTCGTCATCATTTCGTTAGGTGCCCTTGATGTGGCCTTCGTTCTCGGCCAGCTTCGAGCGAATTCCGATGATAATGTATCTTTTATATGAAAATACTACTATTTATTATACTTGTATTCATAGAATGACAACAAAGATTGATAGGTGGGTTAGACATCGATAACAGTAGATTGATTGATTGTATGTTGTTTTGCGTCCCGTTCGAGCATTTTTCACTCATATAGAGACGCCACCATATACCAGTGAAAGGCTTCAAATCTAGACCTTTACTCGACACTCAGGGCCATTGAGCAGTGATGGCTCTTTATTGTGCCAACGCCTTCCGTGACACGGGGCCTCGTTTTTTTAAGGCCTCAAAACTCGTATAACTAAAGTCTATTATTTCATTTTGGTTTATCCAAGAAATGGAAATGGTATGTTTGCGAGCTTTGCAGAGATTGTAAGCCTTTGATCGATTTTTTTCTTGAATATTTCTTTTCAGAATTTTTTGAACCCACTTTTGTGTCTGCATCCTTTTCTTTTAAATCCCCACTCGCACACAACCGTTAAGGAAGGCAGTGACTTCATTAGGGCGGCGTCAGCAGAAGGTAGCGCTCTAATGAAAGCTGCGTGCAAGCGTTCACATATTACACTCGTTTGAAATTATGTGAAATTCGTCGAAGTCAAATCGCACTAAGTGTCATGACACTTTGATAATCCCTGCGAATGTGTCAAACATTTACGACAACTTATTATCGACGTTTATTTGTTCAGTTGTACAAGAATAGCACAATCAACAGAGGTACATCTACTGTGAAAGTCCATATTGTAAACCGAGGATATCGAGTATGCAATATTTTCACAATAGTTGTGCAACCATCGTAAGATTGATTTATAGTCCCCAATAAAGACATAAGGGAGATAAAATAGCAAGTTAAGAGCCTAAGCATCACAAGAAATTCTTTGGTGTATCTCAAAGATTTTTTGGCGTAAGACACCTAAATTTCACATGACACATCCAAGACTACAGGCCCGTAGGAAGCAATTTCACTTTGAGGGGGTACAACCATACATTTTTCAGTTGGGGGAGCCACTATCAACTACCAAAATTCCTTGACAAGCAAAAAAGCCATCAGACGTTATTATTGAGAGGGCACAAGCATATAGTACCTTAGTCCGAAATATCTGACGTTTTCCAGGCTTTTTTCACGATTTAAATCGTTAAATCTGCCAGGAAAACGTCAGATATTTCGGACTTATAATAGCACTTATGTTTTCTTGTTTTCTATAGTATTCTAAATGTGGGAAAAATGGGGGGGGAGGCACGTGCCCCCCCCCCCCGGTTCCTACGGCCATGGGCTAGGAACTGCGCCAATTCTGTCGTAAAATTAAGTGTCGTAAGACTCTTGTTGTGTGAGTGCGTGAAAAGGGTTTTAATTACAGACCCATAGCAACGACTTGAAAAGGAGGGAGCAACCTTAAAAAAAACAACAAACAAACAAACAAAACAAAACAAAAAACACGTAAACTGCCCGAGCTCGAAACTCCTTTTTCGTGGGGGTGTTTGGTTGGTTGGACCTTTCTCCATCGATTTGGTACATTTTTTTTTCAAATGCTGGAATTTGCAAGTGTTTGACCTCTCAACAACAAAAAATGGCATTTAAATGAAAAATTCCATATTAAAACTACAACAAGAGGCCTATGGGCCACAACGCTCACCTGAGTAACTGGCTCTGCTGTTCTTAACCAGATTTTCCTCCTTATAATACGTATTGTGGCCCCACCCTACCCCGGGGGTCATAATTTGAATAACTTAAAATTAACACAACCCCAGGATGCTTCCACGTAAATTTGAGCTTTTCTGGCCCAGTGGTTCTTGAGAAGAATATTTTTAAAGATTTTTTTTCTATATATTTCAATGTAAAACTTGGATTCCCTATTGTGGCCTTACCCCACCCCCAGAGGTTATAATTTGAATAATTTAGATTCTACACTAACCCAGGATGCTTCCACTTAAGTTTCAGCTTATCTGACCCCGTGGTTCTTGAGAAGAAGATTTTTTTAATATATTTTTTTCTATATATTTCAATGTAAAACTTGGATTCCCTATTGTGGCCCCACCCTACCTTCGGGGGTCATATTTTGAAAAATTTAGAATCTACATTACCTCAGGATGCTTCTCCATAAGTTTCCGTTTTTCAGGCCCAGAGGTTCTTCAGAAGATTTTCCTATATATTTCAATGTAAAGTTTGATTTCCTATTGTAGCCCCACCCTACCCCTGGGGGGGGGGGGGTCATGATTTGAACAATTTAGATCCTACACTACCCCAAGATGCTTCCACATAATTTTCAGCTTTTCTGGTCCAGTGGTTCTTCAGAAGAAGATTTTAAAACATTTTTCTATATATTTCAATGTAAAATTTGGATTCCCTTTAGTGGCCCCACCCTACCCCTGAGAGTCATGATTTGAACAATTTAGTTTCTACACTATTCAAGGATGCTTCCACATAAGTTTCAGCTTTTCAGACCCAGTGGTTCTTGAGAAGAAGATTTTTGAATATTTTTTCTATATATTTCAATGTAAAACTTGGATTCCCTATTGTGGCCCCACACTACCCCTGGGGGTCATGGTTTGAACAATATAGAATATACATAACCCCAGGATGCTTCCACATACTAAAGTTTCAGCTTTTCTGGGCCAGTTGATTCTTGAGAAGAAGATTTTTTAATGACCCCACCCTATTTTTCTTGATTATCTACCCTTGTAAGGAGACTGTCCCTTTATTTTAACAATTAAAACTCCCCTTTTCCCAAGGATGCTTTGTACCAACTTTGGTTAAAATTGGCCCAGTGGTTCTTGAGTAGAATTTGAAAATGTGAAAAGTTTACAGGACGGACGGACGACGGACAAAAGGTGATCAGAAAAGCTCACTTGAGCTTTCAGCTCAGGTGAGCTAAAAACTTATTTTCACTTTTGGGAATGGACTTTACTTTTTTTTTTTGCTTGTCAAGAAATTTTCTGGGTTTAATACCTTTGGGAAAGAGATTTTTTTGTGTGTCAAAATTTTTTGGGTCTGATACCTTTAGGAAAAGAGTTCAGCTTTTTTTTTTTTGCTTGTCAAGAATTTTTCTTGGTTTGATACGTTTTTGAAAGTAGTAAATTTTTTTTTAGCTCACCTGAGCCGAAGGTTCAAGTGAGCTTTTCTGATCAAAATTTGTCCGTTGTCTGTCGTTGTCGAGCTTGTCGTTCGATTTTTACAATTTCATCTTCTTTTCCAGAACACCACTGGACCAATTTCAACCAAACTTGACACAGAGTATTCTTGGGTAAAGGGGATTCAAGTTTGTTCAAATGAATTAAGATTAATTAATTAAGAAAAAGTAAAAATTGGGTGGGGTAATTTAAGAATCTTCTTCTCAAGAACCACTGGGCCAGAAAAGATGAAAATTATGTGAAAGCTTTCTGGCGTATTAATTACATGCAGATTCAAGTTGTTCAAATCATGAGCCCTGGGGGTAGGATGTGTCACTATAGGCAATCAAAGTTTTACATGGGTGTAAATACGAAAAATCTTTTAAAATTTTCTTCCCAAGAATAGGAAGGCCATGATTAATCATATTTTAAGGAAGCATCCTCAGATTGAGTTCATGTAGATTCAAAATTGTTCAAATCATGAATCTCGGGGGTAGGGTGTGGCCACTATGGGCAATCAAAGTTTTACATAGATATATAAATAGGAAAAATCTTCTCAAGAATAGGAAATCCATGATTAATCATATTTATATTGAAGCATCTTCAGGTTGTGTAGATTAAAGTTTGTTCAAATTATGACTCCCGGGGGTACGGTGTGGCCACTATGAGCGATCATAGTTTTACATGGGTATAAACAGGAAAAATCTAAAAGTAATATTCTTCTCAAGAATAGGAAAGCCACAATCATATTTATATGGAAGTATCCTCAGTTTTGTAGATTCAACTTTGTTCAAATCATGATCCCTGGAGGTAGGGAGGGGATACAATGGGGATCAAAGTTTTCCACAGAATACATTGAAGAAATCTTTAAGATAATCTTCTAATGAAGAACAGCAAAGCCATGATCAGTCATATTTATTTGTAAGCATCCACAGGTAGTGTATGTTCAGGTTTGTTCAAATCATGACCTCCGGGGGAAGGTTGGGGCCACAATGGGGGTTCAACATTTTATATAGAAATACATAGAAAAAATCTGCAAAATTCTTCTTCTCAAGAACAGCAAAGCCATGATCAGTCATATTTATATGGAAGTATCCACTGGTAGTGCATATTCAAATTTGTTCAAATCATGACCCCTGTGGGTAGGGTGTGGCCACAACGGTTGATCAAAGTTTTACATAGAAATATATAGAAAAAAATCTTTAAAAATCTTTTTCCTGGAACATCGATCAAAGTTATGATTAATCATATTTATAAAAAAAAACAAAACAGATAGTGTGGATTCGAAATTGTTCAAATCATAACCTAAGGGAATAAGCTGGGACTATAATGGGTGCTAAAATTTTAGAAGGGAATATATAGGAAAAAGAATCTGCTGATGAACAAGAGGGGCCACAGTTACACAGGTGAGCGACTGGAGTGGACCCCCACCTCCCCGGGAAAAAATTCCTGGATCCGTGCCTGAATAATATATTAGTTTGCTTTGAGCAATTCATGTCAATATAGTTTTCAACTATATTGAGGTATAGGTAGTTAGACTATACAAACATTTCACAATGATATTTCATGTTTAATGAAAACTATTTTTATGAAACATT